GATTCTGATGTACATCTAGGCTTGACAATCATTGTGTTAAAAAATATTGTAAGGCGAGTTGATCAGCTAGGTCAGGCAGCTTTTATTGCATGGGTAAGGGATTGGGACTTGATGTTGTGGTGATGTACTAAATCAGTAAATATTTATGCAGCTCTTACCATGTACCAGGTGCAGACTATGCCAGGGGTTAGGGATGCAGGGATGATGGTCTGCCTGTAGTAGCAGGGAGCCATTTTGGATTTGGAATAGAAGAGTAACATGATGGATGCTGGGTTCTTAGGAAGATTAATCTGGGAGTAGTCTCTAGGATGGATTGGAAGGAGAGGAACTGGAAGCAGGAAGGCTGCCGTGTTTGCAGTTGGCTGCCTGGTGCTACCTCTGCAGAGATAATCAATGTCCTCAAGGTAGCTGGTATGTCTGTGTGCACTGACACGAGCCTTCTTGCCAAGCCCCAGGGGCTCCTTGCTGGAGAGTGCACGTGGGGCTGGAGTGAGCACTAACTTCACTTCAGGAGAGCAAAAAACTGTGGCTCTTCCATTTTTCAGTTCTGTAAACACATCACCCTTTTTTCCTCCCCTTGAGCTGTGTTCTCTGACAGCTGTTTGTTGGTAAAGCCAGCAGCCCCTAAAGCACGTCCCAGCCGTGTCTCCTCTGTGCTTTCCCCCACCGCTGTTCCTGCACGCCTCATTTGCTAGGCCACTTTAGTGGTGGAACCATTAGAGGCTGAGTGACTTAAAAGAGATTGAGTCTGTCTCTACCCCGAGAGAGAGTGGGATGGATGGATGCATCGTTGTCATTTAGAAAGCTTTGACTCTTACATTCTCTACCCCCCTTCTCCCTTTCCCCCCTTTTCTCACTCACAGGGTAAGCAACACTTCACTTACAATTTAGGCTCTCTCTCTGCTGTGGGCTGAGCAGGAAGAGAAACCCAGCTCCTGCCATTTTAGCCCAGCTGGGTCTGACCAGAGGCTATATGTACCCATTTACTGTGCATGATCAATCGCTCAGTGTAGGGTATAGCCAGGAATTGGCTGGATGTATGTTGTTCTTGTTGACCTGTGTTTTTTCTTAGGGGCCGAAGCAGTATCCTTATAATAATCTGTACCTGGAACGGGGCGGCGATCCCTCCAAAGAACCTGAGCCAGTGATTCACTATGAAATCTGAGGAGGCTTCATGAGCTTTTGTGCCCTTAAAGTAGGACTCCCTCATTCCTAGAGATTTAATCTTAATGAAATCCCTAATAAAACTCAGTGCTGTGGTATCTGTGCCTCATTTCCCCACTGCTGTGAAGAACCTCTTTTTCTTTTTCCCCTGCCTACTGTCTGCCCTCCTCCCTGTTTTTCTGCCCTGCAATTGGAAGGGGGTGGGGGAGGAAGTTAAGCATAGGAAGATGTTAATTTGTCCATTTCACTGGGACTATGAAGATGGTAGAAAGTTATAGTTGCACAGCAGGTGGTAAGGATTGTTCTTTTTCCCATTTATAAGATCAAAGAAGAAGGAAGATAACATCTCTGACTTCCCAAATTAGAACAAGATTTATTTCCCATAAAAAACCTTTTTTTCTTATTCTTTTTTTTGTAGTTTTTCAACTTTTGCTGCACTTTTTTTTTTTTTTTGGTGATACTAGGATTTGAACTCAGGGCCTCATGCTTGCTAGGCAGGCACTCTACCACTTGAGCCACTCTGCCAGCTATGAAAAATCTTTTTATGGTACATGTCTATAATCCCAGCACTGGGAGGCTGAGACAGGATTGCAAGTTCAAAGCCAGCTTGATCTACAGAGCGAGGCCCTGTCTCAAAAGAAAAAGAAAAAAATCCAAGCCCTTTTAATGGTTAGTTAAAAAATGTACTATAACATTTCAAGTACATTATGGGATAGGTAAGTGTTCCAGGGACAGCCTAAGCTTATGACTGTCTTTGATCTTCTTTCTGTTATACAAATATTTATTCTTTATTCCAAAACAACTTCTGAAACATAGTTTCTTAATAAGTTGATATGTATGAATTAGGGGATAGTTGAGCCACCAAACCTTGCATAGCTTTTATTACCCTTAAGATTCATCCAACCTCCTATAACAGCCTTAGAAAGAAGAAAATCATGTTTTTGAGACTATCTCAATGGTTCCAATCATTGTTGTTACTATTTTTTGCAGTGCTGGGGTTTGAACTCAGGGCCTACACTTTAAGTCACTCTACCAGCCCTTTTTTGTGAAGGGTTTTTTTTTTTGAGACTCTAGAGAACGGTTTGCCTGGGCTGGCTTCAAATTGCGATCCTCCTGATCTCTGCCTCCTGAGTAGCTAGGATTACAGGCATGAGCCACTAGTGCCTGGCCTATTTTTTTATCTTTTAAAGCTCATTTTACTTGTAAAGTCAACTTCATAAAAATTGTATACAGATATCTTATCACAAAATATGCAAGGACACCACAGCCACTTTGCTTAAAAGGAACATGGAGCACTAGGTACCATCTCAACTCTAACTTGTAGATGGCCTTTCAGGAGATAGCATAGAATCTAAGGTTCTAAAAACTCTGAACCTGGAGTCATGACTTAAGTGGTAGATCACTCGTCTAGCAAATGTGAGGCCCTGAGTTCAATTCCCAGTATTGCGAAAATAAACATATAAAATGTATAGATTGAATTAAAAATCGAATTATAAGAAAGCTAGAGTAACAGTTAACCAAGATTGCTCTGAAAGCTGGGCATGGTGATAGATACTTGTAATCCTAGCACTCAGGAGACTGAATTAGGAGACTCATGAGATCCAGGCCAGCCTATATTAGTGAAACCGTGCCTCAGAAAAGCCTAGACTAACCTATAAGCTAACTACGTCTGCACCCTACTGGACTAAAGGGTAAGGCATATTAAGTAGAAGTGATCCAAAGGAATGACTGTAGGGAGTCTTGGAAGTGTGGAATTCAAGGTAATCCAAACAGGCAAATGTTAAATTCCAAGGAGGATAAGAGGGAAGGTCATTTCTGAACTTTATTATAAGATTGTTGGTAGTAGTGATTGGATGGCTATCCAAAGATGAGCTGAAAACAACACTCATCAGGAATTTTCCCAGTGACTCCTTTTTGTCAGTGCATCTGTTTTTAAGTGAACCAACTTAGGTTCTATGTGTCCCTTTTGGAACATTTTCTGAAATTATCATACGCTCTGAAAATGTTCAGTGTGACCTAAGAAAACAAGCCCATTCAAGTTAGATGTGGGGTCCTTTAGTTGTTAGGTAGTTAAAGAGAACTTTGTGATATTAGGGAGTGGGGAGTGGTGCTTCTCTTTGAAATGCCACTCTTTGAAGGTTCTCATGACTTTTTAATCTGTTTTCATTGTCCTTTATAGCATTTAATCATTTATTAAGCAAACATCTGCATGTCTAATAGGTATCAGACACTGACAGGCCCTGGGGATATAAAATTGAACAAGACAAAAATAATTGCCTTCAAGGAGTTACCTAGAAGAAGAACCTGGCAGTTATAAAACAAGGTGAAAGGAATTCCAAAGAGATTTTGTGAATTGAGAAAGGTATACCTTTTTGTTTTAACACATTTTATTGAAACTGACCTTATGTCTGTGGTTCAAATTTCTTTTGGAATACTCCAGCAGTGACATTTCTGCCACATTCCTTAATTCTAGGTATTGGCCAAGGTTCAGTTTTTAACCCTGTTTACTTTTCTTCAGGTCTCATATACTGTTTAGGTGCTAAAATGCTAAAAAGTTCAAGAAATTCATGTTGAGTGCTTAGTAGAAAGTGTGTTTCAGGCACAGATAATACCATAAATTGTCTTCTGTCTGACCTCAAAACTCCAAGTCCACATGAAAAGGAACTCCAGAGCTGTATCACAATGAGTTGGGCTGCATCACCAGATAACCAGCACCCCAACTTTGGAGGTGAGTCTGGCAGGAGCACAGTAAAATTCCTTCAAATGGAAATTTAGAGTTGACTTAGGTTCAAGGTCTTCCTTCAGCAGCCTACAGAAGATTTTTATTTGGAAATGCCACAATTCTCTCAGCATAAGTGTATATACAAGAAAATTATGTATGTGTATATATATATATAATCCCTTCACATCCTTTCTCCACCTACTCAAGCACTACAACTCTATTAATAGCACCACCTTTTCTAGTCACCATGGCTCTGAAGCCAAAACAATCTTGAACTCCTTTCCTTTTCAATGACCACCCTATTAATCCAGGTTTTCATCACTTGCTACCTGGACTGTTCTGTTAGTCTCCTCCTAGAGTTTCTGCCTCCAGCTCTCCTCCTATTCCAGGGCTTACATACTGCTAAATGTAAAATACAATGGTCGTTGTATTGCATCCATACCCAAATTTTCAGTAATTGCCAGTTACCTGCGGAATTGAATCAGTATTCCACAATCTGTATGGTCAACCTACCTCCGCCAGTCTGTTTCACTCACGGTATAGGAAATGGCAGGGTGCCCATTACCCAGTTTGGCCTCTTCTTGCTACTATAGCATCTGTGTTCTTGCAGTAACAAGGGGGTAACACTCATCTCATGTGTCTGAAATATTTCAGGAAGCCCCTGAACCACTGGATACTCGCACACACCTATATCCTTAATTCAAGTTTGTGAGCACGTTATTATTGGGCTGTAGTGCGTCACGACTGCCGTTTACTTCCATCCTCGACTGCTTTTTACATTTTCAATCAGTAGATTTCATTGAGAGTCTGGAGTTTAGGGCCGGGTCTCCTTCCGCTTTAATAATGAATTAAATTAGTATTTTCCCTTTCATAGGCTGTACCAGGAGCCTGACTCAAACTGAATAAACCAGAACTTACTGGTCTGGGAACTACGCAATCACAGGGCAGAGAGGGAGGCGCGACGGCAGCCTATGCTCCTATTTGGGAATGTTCGCGGGTCTGTCTGGTTGCGGTGCGGGTCCCGGGCCCTCGCGGAGCCAGACTGCTTTTGGCCCTCGGCAGGCGCCGTCCGCTGCGCAGGCTGAGCCCTTAAAGCCCTGTGCCCTGCAAGAACGGGCTCCAGCCGCCGGGCTTGACCTCTGACCTGGGTATAGGTGGGTTTCCCCTGCGGGTCTGGGGCCCCAGAGAGCAGAGACCTTGCGGGGGGATTTGGATTGCCACTCCTTCCTCGGGAGAGCTCGGGAAGGAAGCCCGGCTCGTGCCCGCCCCGCCTGCGAGTCCAGTCCGTCCTCGGGCTCTGCCATTGCGCCTCTTCAGGAGCACTCACTACGCAGCCTTCAGGGTGGACCGGGTTCCACCTTCCTGACAAGGGACTTAGGTCTTTGCATTCTTTTCCCTCTTGTGTGCTGGGGATCGAACCCAGGGCCAAGCGCACGGTAGCAACGCTGTACATCCCCAGTCCCTGACCAGGGTCTAATTTAAAGCGCTGCTCTAGCGCCTGTCCACCCACCTTGGTCCTGACCCGGCCTGGCAGGGAGCCGGCACCTAGCCTACGTCCTGGCCTGGCGGGAAGGAAGGTTTGTCATTACTGACCCTGCTGCGCCGCGCTTGGCAGAAGGCGGAAGAGAAGCTGTGCTGACCGTTCTCCCTCGGATTGGGCTGCTCAGGGCAGCTGGCTTCCTCCTTCTCTGCAAAATCTGTTGAATGGTCCTAGCTCCCCGCCCCATTCCACCCCACCGCCACCACAGCCATTCTGACCCCAGCCTGGCCCGCTCTTGTGAACAGATGCCTCTGAACAAAGTGGATTTAAAGCCCTTTTTTCCTGTTCCTAGAGTGTCAGCGATTTAAACACTTTATGGAGTTTAGTATAGATTACTATGATGCTTAAAAGTACATACAGGTTGTTAAGTCTGACTTGGGGTTCACATGTGGACCTAGCCAGTTGTCTTCTCTGTAAAATTGGGATGATAGTAGAACCTACTTTATAGAACCATTCAGAGAAATAAATGAGACATGTCAAATGCACAATTGCTAATCGCAGCTCCTACTTTCCTTATTAGGGGTTTTCTCCAGAAACGTGAAAATGACCGTGAACAGCAGGTGGCACTGGTGACTGAGTATAGTGTAGAGCAGGTCAGAGGGTACCTGTTAAAGAGTGTCAGGTATGTTTTTTAAGGTGAAATTGCCATGACTGGCTTGCCCAAGCAGGTTACAGTAGGTCCTAAATGTCCTCCTTCAAGTTCAGTGTCACTTTTTAAACCTTTCTTCCTTTTTGCTAGACTGTTGGGATGGGACCTTGAATAGTCATTACAATGACATTGAAAACCACCAAGTTAAAATGATTGTTTGCATTCATTTAGCAAGTATTTATCAAGCCATTACTGGTCTGGGCAAGAGGATAAGGAGAAACAAAGCAGACACAGTGCTGGCTCTTATGTGAGACTGACAGTGTAATAAAATATAAATATCTAGGAAGAAAATGAGACTTTTTGATTGGGCAGCTCACCTCTCTGAAGAGGTTAGACTCTGAGCCCAGAAGTGATAAAGAGCTAGTCATGTAGGGAGTGAAGGAAGAGCATTGCGATTATAAAGAACAACATTTGCAAAGGCTCTAGTATAGGAAAACACGAGGAAATGAAAAAAAGGCTAGTGTGGCTGGAGGATCATTGATTAAGGGGACAAGTAGTAAAAAATGAAGTGGTAAGCTGGAACTTGAATTTTATTCTTAGTGTGATAAATCATTGAAAGATTTTGTGCATGGAATGCTCAAATCCTATTTTTTATTTTAGCAGTTTGCTCCTACTGAAATATAGAGAATGAACTGGGTGGTGGCATGAGTAGCAACCATTTGGAGACTGTTGCAGTAATCCAGGTGAGAGGCGATGGTAATTTCAAATAGGCTGATGGCAGTAGAGATAGAAAAAATATATACAAATATATTTTGGAGGTAAAATCAGGAAGACAACGTGATGGATTAGAAGAGAATGTGGGAAGCCAGACATGGTGGTACATGCCTATAATCCCAGCTATTTGAGGGGTGGAGACAGGAGGATCAATGTTTGAGGCCAGCCAGGACAAAAGTTAATGAGACCTTATCTTGAAAACAAGCTGGGAGTGTGTCATGGCATATGCCTGTAATCCTAGCTACTCAGAAGGCAGAGATAGGAGGATAGCAGTCTGAGGCTGATCTAGCCAAATGCCTGGGACTCTATCTGAAAAACTAAAAGCAAAAGTATTAGAGACATACCTCAAATGGTAGAGCTTTTGCTAGCAAGCACAAAGTCCTGAGTTCAATCTCTAATACTGCTTAAAAAAAAAAGAGAGAGAGAGAGAGAATAAAGGATAAGGAAGGATCAATGGTGATTTTCAGGTTTCTGGGCTAAGGGGTTGGCTTGATCATTTTCTAAGATGAAGAACAACAAAAGAGTGTTGGGGGAAAGACAGTGGAATAGAGAATTCTATTTAGACAAAGTTATGTATCTTTGCTATATCCAAGTAGAAATATTTAATTAGCAATTGCATATTAGAACTCGGTGCTCAAAGGAAAGATTTGTGTTGGTGATAGAAATTTGGGGATCATCAGTATATAGATGATATTTAAAGCCAAGGAAATGTATACAAACACTGACAGATTTTCTGGTTTGATGGTTATCATCATTGGGCCTTGGCTTAGTGTAGTTAAATACTTTTGGGGTTTAAGGAATTAGATTTCAGTAAGTGGGTAAGTGAACTGTGTCCTTTAGATCTGCAGATGGTCTTGTATTTGTCACCCTGTATTGCTCTGAAATGTCCTATCTTGTGGAGGAGAGAAACAAGATCTGGTGTCCCCAGGCGCTCCCTTGATCTGGCCCTTAAGCTTACTGGTTTCTATTTTCAGTAGGCCAAGGGCCATGTTAGTTTTCTGCCACCTACAGGATTGACCATGAAGTTAAAGGAACTTGAGCGACCAGCTGTCCAAGTGTGGAGCCCATCCAGCCAGTACCCTGTGTATCTGGCTACAGGTATGGATTAGGAGCCACTGGAAGTAAATAGATCAAGGGGCAACTTATCTTCTAGAACTCTTTAATGAGCATTAGAGAAAGCTTTAGGATCACAGAAAGGAGGGATGGCTCACAGCATAAGCAAGGAGATATTAGGTGGTTTGGGGGTGCGTCACAGAAGCCTTGGACTCAGGCTGAAAGTGAGGCACCTCATGCTGTCTTTGGAGTTACCCTTTAAGAAAAGGGTGGGGTGGGGGAGGGGGGCAGGGAGGAGAAATGACCCAAACAATGTATGCACATGTGAATAAATGAATAATAAAAAGAAAGAAAAGAAAAGGGTGTATCCATCCCTCTCATTTCTTTTCCTCTACACCCCTTAACCCATTTATAGTTTAACTCCATGCATATATTATTGCTCATAAGCTGCCTTGACTTGACTTTTCTTTTGCCTAGGAACATCTGCCCAGCAGCTAGATGCCTCCTTTAGCACAAATGGCACATTGGAAATCTTTGAGGTTGATTTCAGAGACCCTTCACTGGACTTGAAACACAAGGGAATCCTTTCTGCCTCGAGCAGGTACTCTGGACTAAGGATGGGTATGTAGGGGAGATCCTGTTGAAGATGCTGATGAGGACTCATGGGAGCAATACATACATCTCAGGGATCATGAGGAAACAAGTGAGGGAGAAGGAGCTGTCCCAAGTTGGAAAAAAGTTAATTCTTGGCTTATTTTGCAAAAAAGGTTTAAAAACAATCACCCTCACCTTTCTGGTCAGTAGCAGCAGTTGGACTGCATGTGACAGAAACGCCTCATACAAGCCTGGACCCACGTGTACCTGCTCTTTCTTTGAACCCAGAGATCTTGGCTCCTTCCTTCCTTGGCTCTTTTGTATATAACAAACTTGCACAATATCACACTTTTCTGCCAACAGGAGAAGGACGAATGATCCTCTCCTCATTGCTATTCGGTGCTGATTGGGTGCTCATGGATTTCATGGGCCATATTGTGTAATAGCAGTGAGGAAAGGATCATTCAGATCATTCATTCTCTTCCTTGTTGGCAGAAGAGACAAGGAGGGAGGCCTCATAGGGCTTGGTAGGCAAGGCACTATCATTCCACTCCTTTTTTTTTTTTTGAACTGGGTCTCGCTAAGTTGCCTGGGCTGTTCTTAAATTCACAATCTTCCCACTGTGACCTCCTGAATAGTTGGTATTACAGGTGTGTGCCACCACACCCAGCTGTCTGTTGCTTTTTTTTTTTTTAAAAGGTTTTGTAAAGGTAGGGCTTACAATCTGAAGCAATGCTTTGTAAGTTCTTATACTATCAGGAAAAATGTGAATATTCATTATACTTGTTACATATTCTATATAAATAACATACATGTATTACTGTACTTAATAAAACACATTCTATATTTTTTAGATTAAATATATAAATCTTTTTATGCAGCCCAGGTAGTCTTCCATCTGATCATTGATGAACCCCTTGTGAATTTCTTGGTCCTTCTAGAAACTAGTTAAAGATTTAGGCAGAAGAGACCTCTTCTTTCTTTGCATGGTTTAACCTAATAATGAAAGGTCAGTTAGTGTTCACCCATTCTTGAGCTCATATATCTCTTTATGACACCATCCATAGTTTTGCAGTATTATACGTCTCTTCATACTTCCAGTAGTTGTACCTTGAGGATCTGCCAATAATGAGATATTCTTAGACCCCACGCAAGCATTTCAGAAAGAGCTCCTGAAAGAGGTGAGCTAATTTAAGAATGTTTATACTCCTGGAGATAAGAAAAGAGGGCAGTGAACAAGGGCTGTTATCTTCAACAAGTAAGCAACAGCATAAGCACAGTAGCAGCTTGTATTTGTTTTTTTAAAATTTTTTTATTATTCATACATGCATACAATGTTTGGGTCATTTTTCCCCCCCTGCCCCCACCCCCTCCCTCTCCCCCCAACCCTCTCAATACCCAGCAGAAACTATTTTGCCCTTATTTCTAATTTTGTTGTAGAGAGAGTATAAGCAATAATAGGAAGGAACAAGGGTTTTTGCTAGTTGAGATAAGGATAGCTATACAGGGAGTTGACTCACATTAATTTCCTGTGCATTTACCTTCTAGGTTAATTCTTTTTGATCTAACCTTTTCTCTAGTTCCTGGTCCCCTTCTCCTGTTGGCCTTAGTTGCTTTTAAGGTATCTGCTTTAGTTTCTCTGTGTTGAGGGCAACAAATGCTAACTAATTTTTTAGGTGTCTAACATATCCTCCTATCTCCCGTGTGTGCACTCGCTTTTATCTTGTGATCAAAGTCCAATCCCCTTGTTGTGTTTGCCCTTGATCTAATGTCCGCATATGAGGGAGAACATACGATTTTTGGTCTTTTGGGCCAGGCTAACCTCACTCAGAATGATGTTCTCCAGTTCCATCCATGTACCAGCGAATGATAACATTTCGTTCTTCTTCATGGCTGCATAAAATTCCATTGTGTATAGATATCACATTTTCTTGATCCATTAGTCAGTAGTGGGGCATATTGGCTGTTCCATAACTTGGCTATTGTGAATAGTGAGCAGCTTGTATTTGTTCAGTGAATAAGGGATATTAGAAACTTCTGGGTTACCAAACTGTATGTTTATATTTGACACTTCAGTTAATTTTCAATTATCTTAGTGCCATAAAAGCTTTTGAAGGTGACTATTAGTTTTTTAGCCACCAACATTGAAGGGACCCTTTTTTAAATATAAGTACTGAATTTCACCTCATGTTCCTGCTGTGTACTGCATGGATTTGGGGCCAGTAACCAAAATTAATAATATAGTTCACTTGTTTTTGCAGTGCTGTGAATTAAACCTAGGGCCTTGTACATGCTAGGCAAGTGCTGTACTACAGAGCTACTTCCCCAGGCCCAGTTAGTATATTTAATTTTAAAGTTTTTTTGATGTATTTCATTTCTGCTTTCTTTTCCCACCTGTAAATCTGTGTCTGAAAATGGCTTCTCATTCCCAAAGACCTGAGGAATTACCAGTCATGTTTGGGCCTTTCTGAAGAAACCATCTTGAACACCACAGGATCTAAGACTCCCACTTCTTTCTATTCCAGCCTTGACTTAAAAGTCAATATCACAAACTATTGACCAAGATGATCAGGACAGATGAGGGCTACCCATCCTTTGCTATATTCTGTCTTCTCTCATGTAACATCTTCTGCCCAGTGTTGTGGAAAGCACAGTTATCTTGGGTTGTAGTCTATAATGTGTATGACTTTGGGTAAGTTAAGCCAATTGTCTTATGTTGCTTCATTTACATATAAAGAAGAGCTTGTATGAGATGATGTCTAAGAACCTTCTGAGACCTGAACTCAGGTCCTACATTCAGTCTCTTGTCCCTTTGTTTTTCTTTGGTAGTCTCCTTTTTCTTTTCTTTTTTTTAGAAAAAAACCTTTTTTGTGTGTTTTCATTGCCTGCCCTTTGCATCAAATCCATGCCTCAACCAAATTTGGGTCCTAAGGATCCCCTTATTCTCAATCCATGGCAAATGTGATAAATATTATCTCTCTAGAAATATCTGACTAAAAGAAGTGTTCTGAAATCTTGTGTGGATATTGTTAAGGGCCAGCCTAAAGCTATTAATAGACTGAAGAGACTGCATGGATAACCGCCTCCTGTTGCAAGTAGATCAATATGGATTAGCATGTGCACTGAAGCAAGTGGTGTCTGGTTTGTTAGATGAATTTCACTCAAGAAGAAAGATTTCTGGGAGAATAATCTTTTTATGTCATTGACTGAGGATGTTGTGGCTGTGGCTGAATGAGATCAGAGGCCAATGTATGATCTGCATCTCTTCACCTTCTGTCTACACTGAGGTTTTAGATCTCTGAGTAGCCTCTAAACTGCGGTAGGACCCATTTTATACTAACACGGAGAATGGAGGCCATCTGTTTCTCAACTCTAGATACTTGGAAAACACCGTGTTCTCTCTCTGGGTGTTTATGTAAGGAACAGCACCAAGTAGAAAAAAATCATTTTTTGTACTTCTCTTAGTTTTTCTGTTCTCAACACTTGCCTTCTTTCTAGAGGCATCAAGATCATGGGGGGATGGGGAGAGGTGGCTATATTGTTGAATAGACCTGGATTCAGATCTCAGTCCTGCTCTTTACTGTCCTCTTGGGCATGGTATTCAGCTTCTCTGACCCTATTTTCTCCACCGTAAATTCAAGATCCAAAGTAGTCTGGTACATCACAGCATTCAGAAAAGTAGCTTCTCTCTCCAACAGCCATTGCCCCACTGCACTGTCATTCACCATTGTGAGAATGGTGAAAGCATCGCTTTTGTCACTCTATTTGATTTTTCAGGAGATTTGGACTTCCCCAGCTAATTTGGCCTGCATGTGCACAAACTCTTTTTTACTTTAGTTCACTAACATGAGGCTGAGATTCCCCCTACCTTTTTATTTTCAGCACTGGGATTTGAACTCAGGACCTCACTCTTGCTAGGCAAGTACTCTGCTATTTGAGGTTTGCCCCTAGCCCTTTTTGCTTTAGTTATTTTTCAGATAGTTTCTCAAGCTTTTTTCCAGGGTTGGCCTCAAACTGTGATCCTCCTGATGGCTGCCTCCTGAGTAGCTGGGATTGCAGGCTTGAGCCACTGCACCTGGCCTGAGATTGGGATTTCTCAAAAGGAGCCTTACTCTAGTGCTGCCAAAAGAAAAAGAAAAAAAGAAACCTTACTAACCAAATGAAAGCAAAATCAGAAGGAAGAAGTGAATAAGTCATGCAAGCAAGAATTTTTACAGCAAATATTTCTAACCATAAGGTGCTAAGTCTTGGTCTTTGATGAGTTTAGCTGGTACAGCATCCTGACCTTACGCTCTCAGTTTATTCTTTTCATCTTTTTTTCTTTCATTTTGCCAGAAATATGGCCATGAGCTGGTTGCTAGGGCTGGCTCTATCTTTATGAAATTTCATGTCTTCCCATCTTATTCTTAAATGGTGTGCAGTCTGGTGTATCAGTACGGTGGTTCTCAGCCATGTTTGCTTGTTGGAATAACTTGAAGGCTTCTGTTAAAAATGTAGATTCTGATAGCCTATCGCTGGACATTCTACTTCATGAGGTCTGATAGAAATCAATAAACCTGTATATTCTTTAAGTACCAAACACCATTCTGTGATGCCACATGATCTCCATTATTGCCATCATTATCTTGGAAACCCCCTTGCAGAGAATTCTACCTGAATTAAATTCTCTCTCACCTTATGGTGGTGCATGCCTGTAATCCCAGAACTCAGGAGGCTGAGGTAAGAGGTTTGAGGCCAGTCTAGGCTACACAGTGAGTTCCAGGCCAGCCTAGGTGACCATAGCAAGATGCTGTCTCAAAAACAAAATAAAAAGTTCCTGCCTTCCTATACAGACTCTTCTTCTTATACCTTTTCCTTAATCCTCTCATTTCCTATTTTCAGGATAAAGTCCATCATTTTTGTTTTTTGACTTTATTTGAAAAAATTCAAATTTATAGGGAAATTACATAAGAGAACAATGAATAATCGTGGCTTCATTTAGATACATCAGTTGTTAGTATTTTGTCATATTTGCTCACTGCCCCCATGGCTATCTCTTCCTTGTTCATTTTCAGGGCAGAGATGGTTGACACTACGTGAGCTCACTGAATGATCAAGTCTGCTTCCTTGCTTAATTTGACCTAGGTGATCCCAGTGTCCCAGGTGATCTCTGGGGGCAACCTCTCCAGGTGCTAGCTTTACCCTTACTAGCAAGGCAATGAACAACAGAAATGAACTTTCTGCATAGCCAACAGAAAGAAAACTGTGTTGTCACACCCCATGTTCTGAAGTTTGGTCCTCTGAAGTAACTCCGTTCTCCAGTCATTTGGTGAAGGCTCAGGTCCTTTTACTGGTTCTCATGTATTGAAGTCACTTCAACCTGTCTGTCCTGTGTGTTTTCACGGCCATACCCTCTTTTATGCCTGTGTGACCTGCTAATGGACTTCTCTGACTGCTCTGATGGTTTATCCTCTGCCCCCTGGAGCTCTAGTCCCTGGGTGACATGGCAGCCTTTTAAGCCAATATGAATATCTTCTTCTGTCACACGAAGATCAGTCCAATCTTAGAAAACTGCCTGCTGCTTAAACATCTGCTCGATGGTAGCCTCAGAGCTTCTGTTGCATCAACTCTGCCATTCTGCTTCAGATGCTGGCCTGGTCTGAACTGGTGCTCAGCTTTGCACTCTTGCCAGATTGGCTCTTCTTGAATGCCTGGCAAACAAGTTCCTGCCCTATCACCCCACTCAATTTCTTTATTGACTGTTCCCAGAGTGTAGGAATGTTTCATTGCAATTAGAGTTCTTGTGACATCATTGGTGTGAAATCTAGCTTCTCTGAAGGGCTGTGGAAATGTTCTTGGCTAGCTGCTGTGAAGCAGAAGACAGACCCCCCTTCTCAGGCTTCACAGACTTCACCCACCTTCCCAAGGGGCAGTGCAGGAGGCCCAAACTTGTCTGCAGGGGATTCAGGGCCTTTTTCTTTTGTGTAAAACATTGGCATGTCTTGTTAGAAATATCCTTAGAGAGCCAGAAAGTGTTTCCTAACTGGGGCGTTTAGTGTTTCATGCTTCCATGCCTCTAGGGCTGGCCTTTGCAGCCACATGGTTGTTCCAGTGAGCCATACACATGGGGAAGGCATGGCACAGGGAGGTCTCAGGTTTTGTTCTCACTTCCAGTTTGAGGGAGGAAGGGGCATCAATCGTTGATACAGGGAACCTAATTGATTTCAGGAGAGTTTGGGTCTTCCAAAATCAGTAAGAGACAGTATTTTATGATGTTAAGAATCAGGCTCAGGAATAAGATGGGTCTGACTTCGAACCTGGACTCTGCCACTTCCTAGCTACTATAAAATGAGAGTGAATTTATAAGCTCTATATTCAGGAGTTATAACTTGTCTGTACTTCAGTTTCCTTAGTTGAAAAATGGGGATAATAGTAATAACTCGTGGAATTGCTAAATATTAAGCCAGCTAATACATGTAAAGCACTTAAAATAGGGCCTGGTACATAATGATTACGCAGTAAGTATTACCTGACTACTTGAATTGTGAGGATTAAGTGATCTATTTGATGTGGTTATCACAGGGCCCATATTCCACAATGTAACTTTAAAACAAAACAAAACAAAACACTCCCACACAAGTCAGAGGCAGTGGCTTCCTGGCTTCTGGTGTAACATAGATGGAATCTTTTTTCAGAAAAAGGGTGGGACCAAGTATAGGAGATTTTCCTTTTCTGGGAAATGAGGGAGATAGGCCTCCTGGCTTAGGGTAAGGATGCCTGCATAATGTCGAAGGCTGGCAAAGATGCTGGCATTCTGCATACTGACATGGACCTAAGTTGGTGCTGATACCAGTTCCTCCTCTTTGTAGGTTTCACAAGCTGATCTGGGGAAGCTTTGGCAATGGGCTTCTGGAAAGCTCCGGGGTTATTGCAGGCGGCGGGGACAATGGCATGCTTACTCTTTACAATGTGACCCATGTCCTGTCTTCGGGAAAGGAGCCTGTGATTGCCCAGAGACAGAAGCACACAGGGGCTGTCAGAGCCCTCGACTTTAATCCTTTACAGGTACTACATTTCAGTTGATCAAATATGGTCAAGCCATGGAGCAACAGTTCTGAATGGAAGCATTCATTGGTGGCCTCCCAGCAGTAGCTCTGAACCCTTCCCAGGTTGCAGCAGGGGAGACTTTGGATATCCCAAGTGTGGGCCTCCTTCTCCCTTTCCTGCTGTCATCTCTTTCTGAGATAGTATATCTCCAAATGACTTTTATTCACACAGGGAAACCTCCTCGCCTCAGGAGCCAGTGATTCTGAAATCTTCATTTGGGATTTAAATAATCTTGAGTGTTCCAATGACCCCAGGATCCAAGTCACAGGTGAGGTGGCTCCCTCTGACCTGGGGCTGCTGCTTAGGGCGTGCATCTGGTTTTTCCAGTAAAGTCTTGAATTCTGGAGCTAGCCAGAGCACAAGAGATTTCAGTCTTTACCACTGGAGGGCAATAAAACCCCACAGACTACGGCCAGAGAAAAGCTGTCATGGAAGGTGGGACGGGGCTGTATGGGGAGTGGTTGGTTTGTGATCATTAGCTGTTCAAAGAGTTTCTGGAAGGAAGATGAAGGGCGGGGGGTGGGGTGGGGGCAAAAAGACACTAAGAAAGGAGTAGGAGTGCTATTTATTATTGTATAGGTTGGGCAGGGCCGGATAGGACCAGGGCTCAGAAGAGAGGGAGCAAGAGTAGGCCTCCGACAAAGCATTGTCCTTTTTTGGGGGAGGGTCAGTTATTGTGTCTTATCTCTGAGTGTGCTTCTCTGTCATTCTATAACTGGGCCCATCTTTTTACTTCTTGGCTTTTCTCTGTATTATGCTTACAGTATTGGGAGGTAAGTTAGTATGAATATGATATAGCTCTTTGTGCCCTGAAAGTAGCACTGGGTTTTTTTCTGCCTCACTGTCTCTGGGATCCTTGGGTATCTATGTTCTCCTCCCTCCATGTTGTCCTCCTCTCCATCTCTCTTTGTCTTAGATAAGAAGTCTGTTTTTAAATCTTGACCCTATCCTTTTTAGGAGAACTTTGGGATAGAACTAAAACCCAAGAGTGTGCCACTTTTTACCCCTCATTTCTACACCACTACCCTAAAGGAGCTTCCTGGGAAAATTCAACTCCCATTACCCTGAATAGCCCCATGTCTACACTTGGGCTTGCAGTGGGTGGCTGGGAGCAATGTAAGAGTAGGTGTTTCTTGGTCCAAGGGGTGAAAAGTTGTCCCCCTCCCTACAATCCTTCCTCAGCAGCCCCCAGAAGACATCAAGGCACTCTCTTGGAACCGGCAAGTCCAGCACATTCTGTCCTCTGCTCACCCCAGTGGCAAGGCAGTCGTGTGGGATCTCAGGAAAAATGAGCCTATCATCAAAGTCAGTGATCACAGCAACAGGGTAAGTGGTGAAAGTCACAACACAGGCCTGGGCTTGGCTTCTCTCTCTTACCAAGAAGTTGGAGCTGCTGTGCTCCAAGTCAGGGATCTGTTTTCAAATGTTGGATGTGTGGGATTCTATCCCTTAGCAGATTTCCTATTAAGAGTGAAAGCTTAGGGAAGCTAAACAGAGCTGATCTGGAAGCTTCTGCTGTCTTTTACTTATTCACAATCATCACTTATTTCCTCATGGCTTTGGTGTTTCCAGTCACATAGAAGAGAACACAAAGAGTGCCCTCAGAGTGATCACATTCCCATTGGGAAGAAAAAAGTTCATAACCGGAAGAGTTAGATTACATCACCCATTGAGATCTGCTTTGTTCACAGATGCACTGCTCTGGCCTGGCCTGGCACCCAGATATAACCACCCAATTAGTGCTCTGTTCAGAAGATGACCATCTCCGGTGATTCAGTTGTGGGACTTGAGTTTTGCTTCCTCACCTATGAAGGTGCTGGAGAGCCACAGCAGGTAGCATCTAAAACCTCATCCACATCTTTAGGGGACTGAGAAGGGGCATGACTGACCTGGATAGGAGGCAGTGAGGGCCTTGCTTTAGCTAACAAACATCCTCCCTGACTTGAAAACTATTGCAGTGAACATAGCCAACCTGAGCTACAGTCCCAACTGAGATCAGTTCCTTTTGACCCTGAGGTTATGGAGAAGAACTTGCAAGTCCATCTGACTTCCAACAATGGGAGTGAGAAACATTTGAGCCAGTCTTTAGTCCCTCTGTTAATCAGTTTTCCATCACTGACATAATCAATTTATACCTGACAAAATCAACCTATAATGAGAAAAACACTTATTTTGGCTTACAGCTTTGGAGGTTGCTTGGGATCCTATAATCCCTTTCAGAGCATGCCCTCAGTGACCAAGGACCTACTACTAGGTCCTATCTCCTCAGGGTTTCACTACTTCCCAATAACACCTCTCTGGAGACCAAGCCTTTAACACATTGACTTTTGGAGGACACTTAAGATACAAAGTACAGCACCCCCCCTGGAAGAATCCCTTGGCTGTGACCTGAGGATAATGTTCATTTCTCTATACCATAAGGTAGCCCCCTCCAAGACTTCTCCTTAATAGAAGCAGCTTGGCTCCCATCTACCCATAAACAGGCCTGTCCCTGAAGCTGTAGTTCTTGGGCACATAGTTGAGGAAGTTGCTCCATAATCTGTTCTTTCTAACAAAAGGGCCATGCCTTTATACCTCCTTGGGGACTTTGAGGGTTAGGTCTCCTCTATTCTGCTAGACCAAAAACACCATTGGGATGGGTGTTTGTGTGATCCTACTCTAAGTGGCAAAAAGTAGGAAATTCAGTAGTGACCCATGGAGGCAGAGTGGTGCAGTGCACAGTGATCAGGCTGTGTACCACAGTGATCAGTCAAGAATTTGACTTGGGTTGTAGCTGTTCAACTATCTGAAAGTTACTTAATTTTTCAAAGCCTCATTTTCTTCATTTATAAATTTATAAAATGGAATGAGGCCACATGTTTTATTAGGGCTGAGATTTATCTAAGATATACATACATATATATATGTATGTGTACATATATCTATCTATCTATCTATCTATCTATCTATCTATCTATCTATCTATATATGTATGTATGTGAGACCTTATTCAAGTAGGCATTCAACAAATGCTACTTCCTCTTTCTTTTCCTATTGAGGGGGATCATGTCAATGTCATGGAGCCAGGATGATGCTGAGCTGCTGCTCGGCAGTGCCAAGGACAGCCAGATCTTCTGCTGGAACCTGGACAGCAGTGAGGTAGGCTGGCCCTTCTGTGGGCATGTTGGGATGGAGGTGAGATGGTATTGGAATCCCAGCTATGTGTTTTGGGTTGCCTTATCTAAGTCAGGGTTTTCTTGACTGAGTGGTCCTTAAGAGTTATGTTCCTCATGATAGGTGGTATATAAGCTACCCACACAGAGCAGCTGGTGCTTCGATGTGCAGTGGTGCCCTCGGAACCCTCCATTGTTCTCTGCTGCCTCTTTCGATGACTGGATCAGTTTGTACTCTGTGATGGATATGAGCTGGGAAGTCCAGCACATGGGACAGGCTGACAAGGTTTGAAGGGCTTGGTGAAGAGTGCTGAGGGAGGGGGCTATTTATGTTTTGGGGGAGAGAGGTCACATGGCCTTGGAAGAAGGGAGAGCTATTGAAGATGGGGAGACCAGCCCTAGGTTTTGGAGGTCTGTACTTTATTCCCAGTGCCCATCTTCCTGGGAGGATGTCAGTTTCTGCCACAATATAAAGGAGAACTTCACTTCAACTCTTGTTATTAGATGCTTCCTATAGGATTACAGGGACCTTGAACCTCTATGCTGGGACCATTATCTCTGGGGTATGGACTATTTTATCTCCCTCTCTGCTGTAGATTCATTTTGTGCACTCCACTGTAGACTTCAAATGTAGTAGGCTCTTGGGAGAGCCCCCTCGAGTCCCATTACCATCCCCATCCCCTGGATTATGGGAGTGTGGTCTTTCTAGGTTAAATTGGATGTCTCAAGGATTCCTCCTGAAATGGAATTTGTAGTGTAGTTCCTGGCTGAGTTGCTGCTTCAGGCTGGTGATGCAGGTTTCTTTTTCCTTCAGATCTCCTCTTCCTTCAGCAAAGGCCAGCCTCTCCCACCACTTCAGGTGCCAGAGCAAGTAGCCCAAGCATCACTGATACCTCCCCTCAAAAAGCCCCCCAATGGATTAGAAGGCCAGCAGGTGTTTCATTTGCTGTAAGTGTTGTGGTGTGTGGGAAGCCTCCTTATGTGCCCATGAGAGAAGTTCAGAAGATTTATTCCACTGCTTCTGTCTCAGATCATGTCCTATTCTACCTCTTAAGCAGACAGTTACACCAGCTTCTCTGTCTACCCCGTTACCCATTTTTCACCCTGCTTACTGTGCCAGTTATGTCGAAAAGGAACTGATTGCTTTAGACCTCTTGGATATGGAGAACAGCCTGGCAGTCTACCTGGGATTTCTCTAACCCTTACATGTCTAGACTGGTGGCAAAGAATACACAGAAAGAAAAAAAGAAATGTTGATATTATCTTGTCATTCCTCTGCTGAAATCCTTTGAGCTGCCATTGCTTTGTAGACTTGAGGGTAAATATAAAGAACTCCATTTATCTTTCCAGTTTGTATTACCAGCTCATTCTTGTATGTTTCCCATATTCCAGTTAAATGAGACTCCTTTCTGTTCCATGAATAACTCCTTGACTCTCTTGCCTCTGTTCATATGCTACCCTTCAGCTCCTCTGTTGGGCTCATTGAATGTCATTGTTGTCTTCCAAGGCCTCCCACTTAAATACTGTCTCCTTGATGGTGCCTCTCTTTAATTCTAATCAAAATTGACCTCCCTTCTGCAATTCCCAGATTTATGCTCCTGCAATAGTATGTTCTAGCTGTACTGAAGTTATTTTTATACGTGTCTGGAAACCCTATTAAGTAATAGAATCCATAAGGATAGGGACCATGTTTGTTCATTTTTACATCTCCAGGGCAGTACTTCTTAAACTTTTTTTTTTGTGGGACTGGTTTCATGCTGTATTGCTTGAGCCATACCTTCAGTCCATGTGCTTGGAGATGGGAGTCTCATGAACTATTTGCCCATGCTGGCCTGGAACTGTGATTCTCCTGGTAGAGAATTCTCCCAAATAGTTAGGATTACAGGTGTGAGCCACTGTGCCCAGCATGCTTCTCAAACTATAATGTTCATACAAATCACCTGATGATCTTATTAAGTCATATTCTGGTTTGTTGGTTTGATATGGGGTAGGGCCCAAGATTCTAATCATCTAGCAAGTTCTAGATGATACCCTTGTTGCTGGTCTGAAGACCAATATTTTTTTTTGACAGGACCTTGTGTTTTCTATGCAGGTGCTCTACTACTTGCACCATGTTGCCTGCCCTTTTTGCTGTGGTTGTTTTTGAGATAGGGTCTTGCTTTATGCCTGGACCAACCTGGATCATAGTCCTCCTATTTATGCTTCCTCGTGTAGCTAGAATGACAGGTGCATGCCACCCAGCCCAGCCATTAGTGGAGATGGGGGTCTCAAGAACTTTTTGCCTGGGCTGGCCTCAAAATATGATCTTACTGATCTCTGCCTCTCAAATAGCTAGAATTATAGGTTTGAGCCACCATACTTGGTAAGGACCAGCACTTTGAGTAGCAAAGCTCTGAAACATCTAGCACAATGCTTTAAATATCAGGTTTGTGTTGAAACCACCATAAGAAGGGGACTAAGGTAGAAAGGAGAAAAATTGAGCTGGGCACTGGTGGCTCATATCTGTAATCCTAGCTACTCAGGAGCAGAGATCAGGAGGATTGCAGTTTGAAGCCAGCCCAGGGAAATAGTTCGTGAGACCTTTTCTCAAAAAAACCCATTAAAAAAAAATAACAAAAAAGGGCTGGTGGAGTGGCTCAAGGTGAAGGTTCTGAGTTCAAACCCAGGTACTGCAAATAAATAAATAAATAAAAGGAGAAAAATGGAGGGGGATGAACCAATTCAGGATAATATATATATATATATATATATATATATATATATGGAAATGTCATAATGAAACTCCCTACATAGTTATCTTAAACAAAAAAAAAATGTCTCTTTTTCAAAAATGAAGAACAGGAAGGTAAAACAGGTCCTGTCTGGGGGTTGGTACCAGTGGGAGGGGGAGAATACAAGGAAAGGGTGTAGGAGGGTAGATATGGTAGAAATATTATATACTCATGTATGAAAACAGAAAAATGAGACCTGTTGAAACTATTCTAAGAATGGGAGGAGGGGGGATAAAAGAGAATGATGGAGGGAGTAAATTTAGCAAAGGCATATTGTAAGTACTTTTATAAATGTCACAATGTACCTCAAGTATGACAATAATATGATAATAAAAAATTGAAAAAAATACTGGGCTCGAATTGAAACAGATGTATAAAAGTAGAGTTCTTGTCTTTGGAGCCAGTGGTTTTATTAGGAAGGGAAAATTAGCACACTCAAAAGGTAGTGAGGTTATAAAATAAGAGGAGGGTATAGTAAAGAATCTTGAAGTTAAGATGCCTGAATTCTTATTATAACTGCATCATTTACTAGCTGGGTAACCTTGAGCAAGTCCCTAAACTCTCAGGACTTCAATGTTCTTATCCATAAATCGGGTATAGGAATACTTGCCCTGCTTAAGTTAGGGAAGTTGACATGAACCCTAGTTGAGAATAGATTTTGGGAATGTGGAATGGTCATATAAATGAGCAAGGAGAAAGAGATGCTGAGGAAACATATTTGGCTCTGACTTTGTGGAGTTTTGTGCACATCAGGCAGAAGAGTGTAAGACCCTACTATGTCCTATGAAGGAATAGGGTTGGATCTAAGAGAATGGAGGAGGGGAAAGAATGAAGACTAGGAAATGTTTCTAGTAATCCAGGTGTGCTAGTACAGGGAGTGGGATGGAGGGACCCTGCATGAGAGACTTTGAACAAGGAGAGGAAAGTCTTTGTTGCTGCTTGTCTATACTGGGTTTAGACTGTGATAAAGTACCTTTTAGTCCAGGTGCCTGGGAGAATGGTGGTACCAGGACAGGAGAGGAGGACAAGAGTACCATGTGGTGACATTTTAATCTGGTGATATTAAGAATGCAGAAGTGGTTTGGATATAGGACACATTGAGTATGCAATTCCCGATTCTATTCCACCTCCTGGAGCTCTTCTTTTATTAAGTTCCTGTTCTAGACTTAATCAATAAATAGCCTTCCCTATAATGCTGACTTGATAGTAGCTTTTGGCTCGAAGGTATAATCTTTATCCTTCTTACCTTTTCTCACCAGTTTGGGGGAAAGCTGGTTACCTTTGGTCTTCCCAGCACCCCTGTCCAGCAGGTGCCACAGGCTTGTCCTCACCTTGTCTTCATCAGTCAAGTAACCACAGAATCTGAATTTCCTGATGAGGTCAGCTGAGCTACAGGAGGCCTTGGGATCTGAAGATCTCCTGAATTATTGTCAGAACAAGAGCCTGAAAACTTCACTGCCAAGTGAAAAGATGCTCTGGCAGTTCCTAAAGGTAGGAAGCTCGAAGCCTGGCTGCTCAGAAATGTTTCCATAAAGTCCAAAACTCCAGCCTCTGTCAGCTGGACCACCACACTGTGACCCAGATTACAGAAGCCATAATCCCCATTGGGTTTTTCCTATGTCCTCTGGACACAGAATCTTAAGTCTTTACCAGAAGCTCAGAAGCCACTTGTGTAGAAGGGAAATTCAAGAGAAATTTTCTTTCATTGATGCTATTGCTGATCTTCTGATTACTTTACCAGAACCAAGGCAAAAGATTTTACAGAATCATGCCAAAGAGCAGATATGGTGATAGAAATAAAGAAGAGATGAAGGAAAGAGAGAAAGATTAGTTGGAAGGGTACATGATCATAAGAAGGCTTTGAGTTGTTTCAGCTAACACAAGACAAATCCTTATGGTAGGTCCCAGAGTTCAGATGCCACTCTACTTTGGAGGTAGGAATTCAGTTCCATTTCTAATTTAATGTCAAGTTGCTTGCTACACAGGAGGAGTACTACACTTGTCATAGGAATTAAGAAAATAATAGATCTGAAGGAAGAAAAAGAAGTACTGATGGTACTGATGGTCAGGTGGTGGGAGGATTATATGACTTTGGGGTTGTAGAGGAAGATTCAAAAAGAAGAACAGGACCTGCCCCAGGGGCTCTGAGAGGGACTCGGGGTCTGTACTTCAGACGTAGTAAAGCTTTATAAAAGTACGCCTCAGGAACTGGGAGATAAAAGGATCTGAGAATGATGAGGCAAGAACTTTTAAGAAATGATGTCTTTGATATATATAGGATACAAGCTCAGGGGCGGTAAAGGAGTGATCAGGAGGTTAGCCTTTGCTCCACTGAAGGAAGGAAGCTGAGATGTCTACAGGACAGAGGAGAATCTGGTTTATAAAGGTACTCAAGGAACTGTCCATCATGATGGCTTCTGAAACAGAGTGTGGAGGAGCATTTCCAAGGGAAGAGCACTAAAGAAGAAGGTATCCCAGAGAGACCGAGAAAGATTGTGGTTAGAATTCATGGTTCATTGTGGAATATGTGAAGGTCCCAGGCCAGCTCACCAAGATTAGGAAAGCTTTAGGAAATCTTGGTCCTTAGTGTTTGGAACACTGAGTGAGAAGCTGACTTTGTTTACTGTATCTGTGAAACGTTTATCAGGGGTCTCTAATCTGCACATTTAGACTTACAAGACTACTATAGGCTACACTTAGCATTAGTCTCTTCAGAAATAATATATATCCCTATGAGATAGGGACCACAGCTTGTCAGTGGGGTAGCACCAGGCTATCATCTCCTGCAGGAGTCATTACAGTCATCCTGGCAGCAATTCAGTGCTCTTCCTCAATTCCCCAGAAGACATTCAGTTGCAAGGCGATGAGCTGCTGTTGCCCACAAGAGCCAATATTTTTGTACCTGCTCCAAAAGCATTACTTCCCAAGTCCTTGCAAGGTATCTGTCTAGTAACAAGAGTCATGACAACCAGGGAAGCCCTGAGCATGGTATCCACATCAGTTACTTGTAGTTTATATAGTTCTAGGCCAGATGCAATTTACCAGTCACAAGCAATGTTGCCTCAAAACAGCTGACATTTTATTCTTGTCAGGTTACCAGGGTAACAGAGCTAGGAAGTCTATGGAAGGTCAAATTCTCATGCAGAAGGAGTAGATGGTTAGTCAAGACTGCCCATACCCCAGAAATAAATCAAACCTGGGGAGGAAAAGGGAGAAGTGACATTGTCTTGCTGAGGGTACTTTTGATAATACACAGAACTATACTTGAGGTACACAGGGTGATGTAGGTCAAGGGTCATTCACATTCATTTAATAGAGACTTTTCTGTATTTTCTGGTTTCTTAGGTGACCTTAGAGCATGACTCTAGAATGAAATTCCTAAAGCTGTTAGGATACAATAAAGATGAGCTTCACAAGAAGGTAAGCTACTTTCACATCCCAAACATGGACTTAATGCTTAAATGAACATTTTCACTCCTAGAGTTAGGCTTTTTCTCAGGAGAGTGGATGAAGTATCCACTGGGGCATGGAGGTGGGAAGATAGCATAAGGCTTGCTTGACTTTGTGCTGGGAAGAGTGGTACTCATGGGTCTCTCCTTGCAGGTGGCCACACAGTTGAAGAGTGACTTGGGGTTAGGGGAGAACCCTCAACCTGAGGGAGATGACCTTAACAGTAATAAACAACAGGCTTTCGGCAATCAGGTGTAGTAGGAGCCCAGGGAGGCTGGCCTAGGGTAACGCAGGAGACCTGTTTTTAGGCATCTTCTGCTTGCTAGCCCTTTGCTGTGCTTTCAGTAAGTGCTCAGCTTTTACAGAAGTCTTCAAACTCCTCACTCTTTTGGATCTAGAGTAGGATACAGAGGCTCATAAGTATTAGATCTGGGAGTAGAGCTATGTCTAAACTGTGAACTAGGATTCTTCCTAAAGCTTACTTGGTTATTCTTTTAGTTTTACCACTAAGGACCAAATAGTAAAATTCTCAAAGACAGATAAGTATGCTCCCTGTTCTGGATTCACTTCTTACATAGCTTCTGTCCTTTTTTATACAGGCCTTTAAACACACCACAAAGGAAGTTTCTGCATCCTCAGACTTCTTTGATGAGCTGGTCCCTCAGAATATGACTCCATGGGAGATCCCCATCACAGAAGGTACCTGGGCTTGAGGGAGAGAGACTCTCTGCTTGGGAGCAGGTGGGTGCAGACTTCTTGGTTTTGACCCAGGTTCTTTTTGTGTTCTGCCTCTCTCCCACTATCTCAAATACTAATGGGTCTCTTACCAGTTAAAGCTGTTTCTGGTTTTAGATCTTCATGGATGGTCCTTTTCATGAAGGCCTTATACCAAGGTCTTTTTTCCAATCCTTATGTCTTCTTGCTAAAAGAACAACAGGTCTGCCCATTCTGAGCAAGCATACATCATACCTGATACCACCACATGAGGTCCTCTCTTGTTTTGAGTCCTGACTTTAGAGAGTTACTACTGGATCTGGTCACCTCTGGGACACTTCACTACATTTTATTGCCCAGGAATGAAACTTGAGAGTTTTGGAGCAAGGCAGACTGAGTGATATAGAAATAGTGGGGGAATGCTGTGGGCCCTACAGGGGACAGGAAATGAGGGCCTGAGGCAGGCTAATTTGGAGGGGTTGCCTTTGTCTGCAGACACCGATGGACTCCTGAGCCAAGCACTGCTGCTTGGGAAACTGGGCCTTGCTGTGGAACTGTGTCTTAAGGAAGAGCGCTTTGCTGATGCTATCATCCTGGCTCAGGCTGGGGGTGCAGATCTGCTGAAGAGGACACAGGAGCGCTATTTGGCCAAGAAGAGAACCAAAATCTCTTCGGTAACTTCCCATCAGTGAGGGAAGAGGGGAAGTGATTGCTTTGGGATGGGTGTTTAGAGTATCTGCCTCTCTTTCTCTCATTCTGGTCTAACCACCCCTACTTCACTGACAGCCCTACTTAGTAGTATAACAGGAGGCCTGCTCATGAGTGGCTTTTTTAGCACATCCCTGTGTGTGGCTCCTGATATCTATGCTGGATAAATGGCTGAGGGCCTCCTTCTCTCTGCCTATTACAGCTTCTAGCCTGTGTTGTGCAGAAGAATTGGAAGAACCTGGTTTGTGCCTGTAGCCTGAAGAACTGGAGAGAGGCATTGGCCTTGCTACTGACATACTCAGGGCAAGAGAAATTCCCTGAACTCTGTGGTATGTGTGGCCCTCATCTTTGGGTGTCTCCAGCATGAGTCAACAGACACATGTGAGGAGGAGGCAAAGGACAGCCTAGTCTCTGGGAGGCTAGACCTGCTGTCAGGACTGGGTCAGGCTCAACCAGGAGACAGGAACTGTAGTTCATGTCCCTGCTTTCAATAAGGGTCATTTATTCTATTTCACTTTTTGATGTCACTTTTTGATGCAAGAGCTTTTCCCTTCACTGTAGAGCAGTGTTAGCCTCAGTGTTATCTTAAAGCCATTGTAGCTTCTTGTCTCATAGTTCATGGGTCTTCCACTTGTTTCCAAACAGGTGAAGGGAAGCTGTGCCATTAATGAGGTTTGTATTCTTCCACAGACATGCTGGGAACTCGTATGGAGCAGGAGGGTGGCAGGGCACTAACCTCCGAAGCCAGACTCTGTTATGTATGCTCAGGAAGTGTGGAGCGACTGGTAGAGTGCCTGGCAAAGTGCCACCAACTCTCATCCCCCATGACTCTGCAGGTACCCTCTCTACAGGGTTCTGGCTGATTCATGCCAGGATGTTAGGAGAGGCTAGTGGTGGGAATGTGCAGAGAACAGAGGTGAGTCTTCTGTGGAAGGCTAGAGCCAAGGTGTTGGGAGGAGCAAAGGCATTCAGTGTCTAGGGTCTTCTCCCAAGGGTGAAATATCACCTCCTTCCATCAAGGGAGACTGAGCAGCAGCTGTTTGGGTATGAGTCTTCATAAATTTTTTTTCCCATTTCAAGTTTGATTATACAGGTTTATTCAGTATTTGATTTGTTGTGAGCCTGAATTTTCTATTAGTTTCTGTGAAATGTTCTATGGATTTAAACTGTACAGGTACTTTATAGGTTACCAAAAAAGGTGGAAGTCACAGACTCGTGAGGAGACAAATGAAATAATTAGTATGAGTCTGTGGTTAGCGATGTGCTAGCAGAAAAGGTAAAGAAGGCAAAAAGAGGAAAGAGGATGTCCAAGAATCCAAGATCTAGATGGGTCCAGTTCAGCCCAATCCTAACAGCTTGGGGAGGGATGAGGCCAAGTGGCCTTTCTTTGTCACATCAATTAAATTTTATCGCCTATTGCCTTCACCTGGTGGGCAGCCAGGTGCCCTCCTCTCTACTCATGGTGGGATGTTTCTTGGTGAGCCACCTGGACTGAGAGAGCAAAGTATATTTTGAAGAAGTTGACCACCCTCTTCCTTGTCCCTACAGGACCTGATGGAGAAAGTGATGGTCCTTAGCAGAAGCTTGGAGCTACTGCAGGGTCCTGGTCAGGTCAGCCCAGGCCCTATTACAACCTATAGAATCACCCAATATGCCAACCTTCTGGCAGCCCAGGGAAGCCTGGCAACTGCCATGAGTTTCCTACCCAATGACTGTGCTCAGGTGAGTTGGGCCATGTGAGAGAGCAAACCATTTCATTTAATCATCTAACACTGGTGAGCACTTCTGTCTCAGATACTGTGCTAATACTGACTCATAGGGTAAACAAGATCTTGTCCCTCAAGTAGCTCACAGTCTATTGAGGGAGATCAGATGTCAGAACCTTACGCGAACTCACACTGAGCACTGTGGGACTTCAGGGAAGGGCCTGATTTTGTCTGGAGAACTCAAAGAAGGCTTTCCAGTGGTTAAAACAGTTGAGCTGGACCTTCAAAGATAAGTAGCTTACCAGCACATGTAAGGTATTCTAGACAAAAAGAATAGCCAGGGGTAAGGTGTGCAAGTGTTGAGTAGGGATTAGAGGATTTACAGACATTTAGGGTGGCTAAAATGTAGAGGGTCAACTGAAATTTGACTGCTAAAAGAGGACAGGCTTCTAGAAGAATATTTTCTTATTTTAATTTGCTTAACACAGTTCTTTCTTACTACAACTCTTATAGCCACCAGTTCAACAGCTAAGAGATTGGCTTTTTCATGCTCAAGGTTCTGTTGTCTTGGGCCAACAGGCTCCCCCTTTTCCCTTCCCCCGAGTTATTGTGGGACCTACCCTCCACTCTAAAGAGACATCATCTTACACACTGGGACCCCAACCTTCTCACCAGGTAAGACCTTATTTATTAATTCATTTGTTTACTCATTCAAAAATATTTACGAGTCAGGCATGGTTCTAGGCACTTGGAATATATTAGTAAACAAAACATGAGAATTCCTAACTTCTTAGACACTTCCTAAATTCAGTTCTTTTTCTTTTTCCCCCCTCCATCCCCTGCCCATACTGGGGACTGGATCCAGGGCCTCACACTTGTACACTTTACTATTTAGCCACATGCCCAGACCTTTTTTTTTTTATTTTACTTTTGAGATGCAGTCTTGTTAACTTTGCCCAGGCTGGCCTTGAACTTTCTTTCTTTTTTGGTGGTACTGGGGTTTGAACTTGGCCTCAAGCTTGCTCTACCACTTGAGCCACTTCACCAGCCTGATCTTGAACTCTCAATTTTCCCATCTCTGTCTCTTGAGTAGTTGGGATTACAAGTATGTACCACCGTGCTCTGACAGTTATTTTTCCAGTACCTTTTTTTCTTTTTTTGCAGTACTAGGGTTTGTACTCAAGACCTTCACCTTGAGCCACTCCGCCAGCCCTATTTTTGGGAAGGGTTTTTTTCAGATAGGGTCTCGTGAACTATTTGCCCAGGCTGCAATCCTCCTGATCTCTGCCTCCTGAGTAGCTAGGATTATAGGTGTGAGCCATCAGCGCCTGGCTCCAGTAACTATTTATTAAACAACTACTAGGATATTAGAACACAAAGGTGCATAAACCATGATCCTTTCCCTCAACTAGCTCATAGTCTTAAGAAAAGATAGATTTATTAAAAATACAGTAAAATTCAGAATTGCCATGATTCAAGTATCAAGGGGCTTTGGGATCCCACAGGAGAAAACAGTTTCCTTTGTATGTTGGGTGGGGCAGCTCAGGGCATGTTTCAGAATGAGTATGATATTTGCTCTGAGTCTCAAAGATTAAGTTATTTAGGAAAGGGAATGAGTAGGAAAAGCCTGTTTCAGACACAGGGCAGAGCAAGTACAAATGCATTGAGGGAAGAATAAGCAGAGGCCTTTTGAGTAACTACTATGTGGTTGACTAGGTTAATTTAAGTTATTTAAGTATTCCTTCTTTTTCTTATTTTTTTCCTTGAGTATTCCTTTGCTATAGTTTTAATGGCTTCAAGGTCTATTGTGCTATTTCCTATTGAAAATCTGGTATTGAAGAGTTATATCTTTTCTCTTTTCTTTTATTTCAGTGGGACTATGTTTAAACTCAGGGCTTCACTCAGGATGTTCTACTGCTTGAGGCACATGTCCAGTCCATTTTTCCTTGGTTATTTTAGAGATGGAGTCTTGAGAACTGTTTGCCCAGACTGGCCTTGAACAATGATCCCTCCAATCTTAGCCTCTCAGATAGCTAGGATTACAAGTGTGAACCACTGGCACCTGGCTAAGGAACTACTAATTCTAATGAGGCTGCAAAAAAGGTTTGTTGGTCATAGAGCAAGACTAAATGAAAGTGGAGCGACAGATAGGAGTTAGGTCACTAAGGATCTGACATTCTGTGCTAAAGAACTTAGATTTGGCTCTGAGAGCAGGGAGGAGCTGCTGAATAGTTCTGTAATTGTATATTGAGCTGTGTATTTAGGACTGGCAAGGCTAGAAGCTGTTTTAGGAGGCTATAGCAAGAGATGATGAGGACATGAAAAAAAGCTAGTGCTGGACAGTGAGGTTAGATTCAAGATATTTAGTGGGTGGAATTGAAAGAAAATGATGATAGTTTAGAGGTTTGGGTGATGGGAGACTGAGAGAGAGGAAGGAGTTGGGAATAATTCCTAGGTTCTGGTCGAAGTACCCAGGTAGACTAGGTACTGTGAACATGTGAGACTGGGAGTTTACTAGAGGGGTGGGGAAAAAATTCAGAGAGATCTGAGGCTAGAGTATTGGGCAGGGCTCCAATGATTCATCTGGCCCCACCTTTAACTACATCCTAATTTCATTTCTTTTTTTTCCTCCCCTCTCTTCCTGTCTTTTCTCCCTTTCTCTTTCTCTCTCTTTTCTATCTTGAAATTATTATAGATTCACAAGAGGTTGCAAAGAATATATTGGGAAGTCTCATTCTTACCCACCCTACCTCATATCAATATCTTGTCACACAATCACAGTACAATATTAAAACAAAGAAGTTGACATTAGTACAATTCATACATTCAGATTCACCAGTTTTCACTTATTAATTTGTGTGTGCATGTGTATAACTATGCAGTTTTGTCACATTGAAGGGTTGTCTCACATAACCACCATCACAATCAAGACACTCAATTATACCATCACAAGACTCTCATGCGGGGCTGGACAAGTGGCTCAAGTGAGTGGCTGCCTAGCAAGCGTGAGACCCTGAGTTCAAACCTCAGTGCCACCAAAAAAAAAAAAGACTCTCATGTTACCACTTTATAGCCATACCCATTTCCCATCCTTATCTTAGCATCACTAACTAACATGTACTCCAGCTTTATAAATATGTTATTTCATTATTGTCACATAAGTAGAATCATGAATGCATACATTTTTGAGACTGAATTTTCTCACTTAGCAGTATTTCCTTGATTTTTATCCAAGTTGCACATACTGATAGTTCATTCATTTTTATTGTTGAGTGGTATTCCATGTTATGCATGTACCACAAGGTATTTTTTTGTTTGTTTTTGTTTTTATCATTTGCCCTTTGAAGAACATTTGGGTAGTTCCTAAATAAGACTTGATTTCACTGGGATAAATGCCTGGGAATATAAGAATACAATTGCTGAGTTATATTACAAGTGCATTTTTAGTTTTAAAAGGAACAGCCAACCTGTTTTCCAGAGTAGTTTTACCATTTTACATTGCCACCATGTAAGAATGTTCCAGTTTTTCCACATCCTCACCAGCATTTGAAGTTATCACGGTTTTTCAGCTTAGCCATTCTGATATATGTGTGGTTATAACTCATTGTGACTTTAATTTTAATTTCTCTACTGGCTAATGTTGCTGCATATCCTTTCATGCATTTGCCATCTGTGTTACCTCTTCAGTGAAATGAGTATGTATGTCTCTTGCCGAACTCATAATTGAATTATTTGGTTTTTTAATACTGACTTTCGAGAATTCTTTACATATTCTAGATACAGGACCTTTGTTGGATATGCGATTTGAAAATAGTTTATTCCAATCTGTAATTTCTTTTCATCTTTTTAATAGAATTTTTCACAGAGCATAAATTTTTAATTTTATGGAGTCCAATTTATAAATTTTCTCACCTACAGATCATACTTTGTTGTCAAGTCTAAGAACACTTTGCCTAATCCTAGGTCCCCCCAGTTTTTTTCCTATGCTGTGTTTAGAAGTTTTGTAGTTTTATGTTTTATATTTAAGTCCATATTTAATTTTCTTTTGAGCAATTTTAAATCAAATATTATATTTTTTATTTTGGTTTCCATGTGTTCATTGTTAGTATTTAGAAATGCAGTTGCTGTTTTTGTGGGACTGGGGGTTGAACTCAGGGGCTCTGTGCCACTTGAGCCATGCCCCCAGCCCTTTTTGCTTTATTTATTTATCAGATAGGGTCTTGAGTTTTTGTTAGGGTAGTCTCAGATTGTGAACTTCCTAGCTGTACCTCCCACTCAGCTGGGATCACAGCAATGTATCACCACACCTGACTTGTTTGTTGAGATGGGATCTCACTAACTTTTTGCTTGGGCTGGCCTTAAATCATGATCCTCCCCATCTCTGCCTCCTGAATAGCTGGGATTATAGGCATGAATTACTGTGCCTGGATGCAATTTATTTTTGTGTGTTTATCATATCCTGTGACTTTTCTGAACTCACTAGTTCTAGGTATTTTCTCTGAATTCCTAGTGATTTTCTATATAGACAGTCATGTTTGCAGAGGGGGACAAATAAGGGCAGTTTTCTTTCTTTCTTTCCAATCTACATGCTTTACTTTCCTCCTCTTGCCTTATGGTAGAGACTAGGTCTTCCAGTACTATGTTAAGTCAGAGAATACCCTTGCCATGTTTCCATTCTTAGAGGAAGACATTCAGCATTTCACCATGAAGTGTGATATTATCTGTAGGGGGTTTCTTTTTTGACAAATGCTCTTTATGAGGCTAAGAAAGTTTCCCTCATTTCTTCATGTCTTAGCCTGTTTTGTGCTGCTACATCAGAACACCACTGAATGGATAATTTATAAAGAATAGAAATTTATTTCTTTTGTCTTTTCTTTTTTGGTGCTGGGATCGAACCCAGGGCCTCATGCATGCTAGGCAAGCGCTGTACCACCGAGCTACATCCCAGCCCAGAAATTTATTTCTTATAGTTCTGCAAGCTGGAAAGTCCAAGAACAAGACACTGCCAGATTTGGTCTTTGGTTGTAAGAGGGTACCTCGTTGCATCCTCCAGAGATGAGGAATACTGTGTCCTCACATGGCAGGAGGAGGAATGGCAAGAGAGTGTCCCCACTGCTGAAAGCCCTTTTGTAATGACATTCATCCATTCATGAGGGCAGAGTCCTCATGAACTAACCACTTCCCAGAAGGCTCCACCTCCCAACACTGTTGCACTTGGAATTAGGTTTCCAACATGAATTTCGTGGGGCTCTTGAGATCCATAGCACCTTCTTGTACTGGATCATAACTGAATATTGAATTTTGTCAAATATTTTTCTGCATGATTTTATATTGTCATATGATTTTTCTTCAGCTTGTTGATGTGGTTGATTATACTGATTTATTTTTAGATATATTAGACCAGCCTTCCATGACCTGGAATAAATCCCACTTGGTTGTAGGATATTATTTTTGGATTTGATTTGCTAAAATTTTTATTAATTTTTGTAT